GACAAAGCCTCTTTAGAGTCGTTGAGTAGTCGATTTCAACTACAAGAAAATGTACATGTTTTGAAGTGTTTTATGGCTGTATTTGTCGTATGTTTCGTATTCATAGGTGCCGTGGGGTTCTTCTGTATACAAGCTGCTACTTATCTTGCTTTATATGGTGACATTGATGACAAGTTAAATTATATTGAGGTTTTGGTCAAGGTAAGTGGTTTTTAAATATTCATTAAGATAAGCTTTATACTGTTAAAATGGTTTATTAATCGAATAACAATTATAATAGCTTACTTTTCAGATTTCCCACATCTGTGTAGACAGCGTCTGTACTGCATTCGCCACAGTATTTCTAGCAAAGCACCCAGTTTTGAGAAGCAAAGTAAAGTGTTTATTTGATAATTATTTGTCACACAACGTCCACCCCCGCCAACAACTTGTTTTCGCCACAAAAGAAAGACCAAAACTGTATTTGGGTGCGAGAGCTGATGATTACTTTAACCAATTAGAGGGCTCGTGGAGGATTCAGAAGTTTTCTACTGAGGTTTGATGGGTCTACAGTGTCTTCGTTTTAAAGGGAATTGAAAATTTTTTGATGTCTATTACTACTGTATTTTATATGTTTTATATTGTTGATATTGAATGTCCAGTTTATTGTGACGTACATATTATAAGTTATAGTCATACTAGAAGTTCCAAGGGCTGCAAAGCTTGCTTCGGCTTTGGACTAGTTCCAGCCGCGGTAGAACTCCGACTCCAAAGCTGGAGCTAAAGTATAAAATGGCGGTGCGGAAGCCAGAAATTTTTAATTTGAGAGCTCTGTTAGTGTGATATGTTCGCTATTCGGTTTAAAAATACGTTTTTTCATTAATTTGTTGTCGTTTGTTGTTGTTGCTGTTGTAATAAACGGTTGTCTACATGCAAATAAAGTTTAAAAACATATATTTACTATTTAAATACAAAATATACATTTTACAGTAAAATTATTTAGCAAAACCTTGTTGTTAAATATAAAAAATAATAACTATTATAATTTACAATTATATTTACTTAATAATCACATTACTATATACATGTTACAACGTAATTTCTGCAGATAAACATAATAAAATGTTTAGTTATTGCACTTCAAATAAAACAAACTACATACATACTTAATGTAGGTTACAATAAAAGCGATTATTCTTTGTAACATACCACGTCATGATTTTGACTGTATGATAAATACAACTTTTGCCTATCCTTTGACGCTTTTTGATACGTAATGCCAATGTTTTGCAAGTAGACCTTTAAAAGTGCCAGGTCTAAAAAGCTTTTTTCCAAACCTACTTGCGGCAAGTTTTTCTGGCCTTTAACTACAATTCTAACAATAAACCAGACAGATGCAAGATTACAACAACAAGCATAGCAACTACAATAAACTGCATTTAAAACTAGCTTAATTTAAGAGGCATACTAAACACTTTAAGTTAAATATGTATGTAGTTTAAGAACGTTTTATGAAGGACAGGGGGATGGGTTACCTTTAATGTTGATTTTAACATTTAACTAAAAATAGTTTTTTACAAATACTGTTTTAAACTCATGTCTTCTGCAAACTTCTTGTCGTAGTAATTGACTAGCTCCTCTACCTCAGATTGTTTTTTATAATAATGTGTTTTTCTTTTTTCTACATTAAAGCCAATTATTATATGATATAAATAAATGACTTATGACTTGCTTTGATTCCACAGTTTCAATTACTTACTTAAATCAATTTCAGGTTACTTCATAAAAATCAACGTGTCAGACCTGATCATATGAAAAAATGTAAATCTGTGTGAACGGGAGGAGGGCATTAGCCTGAAACCGAGCGTTTCAGGTCTAGTCTGAGGCAGAGTTTTGCCTGATTGGTTCGAATGAGTTTTTTCCAGTTTCACTTCAATCATCATAGACTGGTTAAATAAAGCACTTGTATACTGTAAAACGTCAGCAAATGGTTAAATTTAAACTTTTTGGATTAGGATTATACTTATGACTTCAATTAATGTTCACTAATTTTTATTTTATTAAATTGTAAAAAGCGATACATAATAGATGTAACTTAAGTGTGTTGGACTATATTTATATAAGTATTGCAATGCTTTTTTTTAGTAAATGTATCTGTTTGTAGCTGAATTGTCCACCAAACTTCCGCTAAAGCACTTGTACACGGATATTTATGTGGCTTGACTAATTTTATAGATATTTCTAATTAATATAACATGTGCTGGTACATTTTTACAAATTTCTATAGGACGGGACAATTGTAGTGTATAGGGGTATTGTAGTTATATTACAAAATACACATATGTGAATTTAAATACATTTAACGCAAGTTAAACAAATAGAATTCGTGATATACAAAGGACTACCGTACTATACAAAACTTTTGAAATAAATGTGATTTTTGTATTTCTTCTATTTAAACAATTTCTTACAATTTTTTTGGATTCCGAAAGGTTTAGTAACGTGTTATGCAGTTCATCACGCTGATACAGTAATTTACCGAGGGTTTTTTTAAATATTTGTACTCGTCATTACTATTATATAAAACAACCTTCTTGTAACTCAATTTACTTTAATAGAAACTAGTAATTACAGTAATTTATTCGAAAAATAATAGTGCTTGCTTTAGTTATACCTTATGACTTTTAATTGTTAGTTTTTCTGATTACACCTAAGAGTATACTTTCGGTTCAATATTCCGTCTTCTACTCTTTCTATCCCTTCCCCTTTCTATGCGCCCGACCTTGGTACACGTAGTTTTACTAAAACACACTGTCAAATTGGGTTAGTATACTTTAAAGTAAGAATATGCAGGTAGTGTACTGTAAGGTTGGAGTAGACTGTAACTAAATTTTGTTTATATTTTGTGATAACAGTGCTGTCAATAATAGTTGGCAGCTAATTAATAAAAGTGCTTTTTGAACAACTTTGGCACAGACATTTAATAATTAGGTTTAGTTTAACATTTAATTTACATAAACCTACTTAACATTGATTTTAAATTTAATAAATAGTTTAAAGGTACTATAACTATAAGAGTGTGATCAAACACTAGCATTCCAGGTCAGTCTAACTACCTACTCAAACTTGTGTCGGCACTCTTTTCTAGCGTAAATATTATTTTGTACGGTTTTTTTAAAAATTTTAATTAAAATTTTTTGAAAATTGAAATTGCTTACAAAAGACTTGAGAGAAATATTCATTGGCTTTTAGAACAACACCTATTTATAATAGAACTTGTTGAATGTATTGTAATTTGCTAGGCTTTTGAAAACAGTTTTTTGGTAAAATTACTCTTTCATTGTATATTTAGTGAAACTTATGTGTAAGATAAATTATCATTGATTTTGTTAAAGGTATTTGCGAAGCTTAAATTAGGTTTATTGCTTTTATATTTGACGTACCGTAAGCAATTTCTAAATTCTGTATCCGGAAGTAGTTCAATTGTTTATAGTTTTGTCTATAATTGCCATAAAATGGAGTCTTTACATTCATTTTTACAATTATTCGAGTTTACACGGGTATATTGTTTTATAGATATTGTCTACAGCTATACCTTTTCTCTCCTTACAATACATAAATTTGTGCTGTGAATCCTAAATCCTGATATTGAGTGTAATGTCCTTCACGCTAACTAACTACTAATCTTCTCTCTCTCTAACTGCTTGGCCTACTCTTTTTGTCTTGACAGTACTTATAGCTATACTCGTGCATGTTCTATCTGATCATGTTATTTGAAAGTCTAACCTTTAAAGTCTAACTATTAGCGTTAGTTATTCTTTCACTTGGGTACAGATGTAACATTTTCACTAATGTCAACCAACAATAAAAACACCTGCTTTTAATAGCAACTTGCTAATAACAGTAACACACTTTTTTGGCTTACTATGCCAGTATTTTGGGTTTTATATTTTGGACCGTACTATTGGCTGAAAATGTCATATATTATTTTTAATTTATAACTTTATTCTTATATTTATTTATCGTGTTATTTAAATTATCATTTTAATTCATACCTCTTTAGTATTACTTTTAAGAAAATAGTCTAAATTGCCATTGTAACCAGGAGTCACCATTCCGGAGCTTTTTATAAAATTTTTACTACAAAATCAGAAACCTGTCATTAAAAACAAGTTCTTATACTGTAAAGGGCTATACTAAAAAGCTTTCAAGCGCTGTTCTGAACATTCCGTAACACTACAGTCAATTTAAACGTACTTTTGTAAATTAATGATGGTTTCAGATACTCGTAGTAAACATTATGCATATCGACGTGGTAAAGTGTTTGGAATGTGTCGATTTTGTACTTATTATAATTTTAACAATTCTGACCACGTTTTATGTTTGGGCAGTGTTAAGTTGCCAACAACTTCATCCGAATCTACGGTTTTATTTGGTAAGTAACTTACAGTAATAACTAGTTTTTCTCGAACTTTGCATTTTTTCTGGCTCAGAAATTTTCTTGTTTTGTTTGACTTCTAAACTGGTCAAAAAGTTTGTTGAGAAAGAACTTGCATACTTCTTATTTATTAATAAAAATTAAAATTTTGTGAACCAGTCCGGGGTTTTTTTTCAATTTTTTAAATTTATTTGGCAATTTTTTGACATAAATTATTCCGGAATAAAAAAATCTTGTTATCATGCCTGGTTAGGCAAAATAATGGTCACAAGCTTTATAATTATTAATTTAATTTTTTAATCTATTTTTCTAAAAAATTAAGTTTTGGCAACTTTCTAACTGTCTATAACTCTATTATAATATAATATGAACTTGTATAAAAAGTATTGAGATACTCATTACCAATAAAATTTTTTAGTTTATTTTATTTTAGTGCCAAATTACAATTCCCTTCAATCTACTGGGCTTGACTCGTATTGCCGGAATGCTAAGCGACAACCTTGGTCTATTCATTGAATCAGACACTTTCTGTGACTATACCTCAACGTTAAATATACTTTTTACGGGTATGGGTGACTGTATTATGTTGGGAATAGTAACAGAACGATGCACAGCAACGTACTATAGATATCACTACGAGCAGCAAACTAATAAGATGGCTAAGATATACGCTTTTGTTATAATTGTGTATGGTTGCTTCTTTGCTTGGCTATGTTGGTATCTCAGTGGGCATGTTAGTGGTAAGTTTAATCTATTTCTTATAGGGTAGAATAGAATAATTTTACAAAAAATTAATATTTTTTATATAATTTTAAAAATTTTAGAAGTCTTTCCCACAAGATGTATCCTTCTCAACCGCTATCCAGTACTAGACGCACTTGGATTCACAGTGTGTGCAGTGACAGTACTAATTTGCGCGGTACCATGTGCCTACATGTTTGTATACAATAGAAATGTATATAACAATCGAGTACGCTTAGAGTCACTGAGTTCGAGGTTTCAATTGAATGAGAATCTACATGTTTTGAAGTGTTTTCTGATCGTATTTGTGTTGTGCTTTGTCTTCATTGGATCTACTGGCTTTTGGACGATCCAAGTTGCTGCCTATTTGTCGTTGTATGAAGATGTGGCAAAAAATTTGGTTAATATTGGGGTTCTTGTTAGGGTAAGTTTATTATAATATGTTTTAGTATGTTGTGATTAAAGGGTTGGCTGGGTTAAGGAGGCCGTCAGCTTTTCTACAAAATTAAAAAAAAATCTATGTAAAATACGCAGAAAAACTGTTGTTTTGTAAAATACATACTCAACATACTCATACTTAGACCAACTTTTTTATTCTTCAGGTATCCCACATAATGGTAGACAGTGTGCCAATTGTATTTGAAATCGTATTTCTTCTAAAACACCCAGTAATTTGTCGCAAAGCACAGTCTACTATACTCCGTTATAAGCCGGACTGGTTTCAATCTAGAACAGATAGCGTGTTCATAATCAAAGAACTACAAATCAGTCCGTACACTTCAGCTGAAGCCGACGATTACTTCAATCAACTCAAAAATGTCTGGAGAATTGATGAAAGTAAATAGAAAAATAAATACTGTAATAATAGTTAACTATATATTTGTTTAAAATACGACATGTTTTTTAAGAGTGCTATAAAGTTGTCTAATATTTTGGACGTACACCTGCCTGTCGTACATTCATATGCAGTGAAATTCCGATATAACAATTTACTTTCCAAGCTAGCTATGCTTACAAATTTAATAATGTAGATTCACTTAAAGCTTTTCAACTAAAATATTATTAAAAAAATCTTAAAACTCAAAAAATGACAGAGTTATAAGTTTGAAACACAATGCCAATTTGGCAGAAAATTCAAAACGTGATTTTTTAGTTTCAATTTTCTTGAGATTGACTAAAAAACGCAATTCACTATTATACTTTGCTGATGATCTTATACATATTTACATAGTCTTTCTGTATAAAAAGTTTGAAGCCAATCAAAACGGGACAAGTTGGGCACTTTACTCGTGATTGAAATCTTAATAAACAGTGATAAAAATGTCAAAATACAGTAACAAATACTGTATTGTATAACATCTGGAATATAAACTGAACACTGGTGTTATAAACTTTGTTTGAGTTGTTACTGCGACATTTAGTTATGGGTGGCGAGTCACGCAGCATTAAATGGACGTCAGAATTTCGTACATTGACACAGTTTACAACAATAAGCGAGGCTTAATATGACAACAATGTATACTTTTTAATAATATGTTTTAATATATATAAATATATGTTTTTCTTTACCTAAAACATAAAGCATGTAAAACGAAAGCAATGACCGTATTATCACAAGGTAATATGTAATTAAACTTCTTCCAAGTAGTTGCTGATGTTATTAAGAGTTATTGTGTACGTCGTGAACCCTTTGCTCATAAAGACCTTTGAATAGTAGATTTTGTAAAGAAATTAAAGTAAATGTTTCAGCACGATTGGCATGTTTTCTCCGTGCTTAATGTTACCTCTATACAGCGTAAGGATTTGACCGTAGTGCCGAGCGGGGTACTTTAATGTAGAGAAAGTGCGGGGTAAGGGGTAAAGTAAAAAAAACATTTTTTTGCTTTACAGTGACTCCGTAAATCATATTAGGTTGTTCACATAATTCAGCGCCCCCGTACTCCACAAATTAGCTTTGAGAAAAGGCACAGAATTAAGTGAACATCCTAATATTTTGCAAAAATTTTAGACTTTTTAAGCCTTGCAAAACGTAATGGAACACCTAATAATAGTATAAATTTTAAATCATTTTCGTTACCCGTAGGTCAAGTTAATAATTCAATTCAATTTACATTTATTATTTACCTTTTTTATTATTTATAAAAAATGCAGTAGTACTGCATTACCTTTATTTGATTGAACGAAACATGGTTATATAAAAGTCATGTTTAGAGGAAATTCAAGAATGTTGAACTTTTGACTGTCCTGTATGATATGTTCTTTCTACTTTCAATTTCATCCATGTTTTAGATAAGAAAAGTTTGTTTTTTCAAAATATCGACAATGGATTTCTTACAAGTGAACTTTAGGACTTGACACTAGAAGAATGAAGGATAGGGAGGGGTGGGGAGAGGTGAGAATAAGCCATTTAGTTTTGTAACACACCCTCCTTTCGTTTACGATTACTTGTATAATTAACGTTATCTACCGTAATTTTTGTTTTTTATGAAACTGGGCCACATTATTCAATTTACGTGCTAATAACTCTTTTCTTAGCATAATATGAATTCGTCTTTTTCCTTTTAAAGTTCAATTTCAGTTTACGACGCCCTTTGCAGTACCTTAGTATGTTCAATGTTACGACAGAAGACAATATCTTAATCATAATGTCTTTAATGGACACGTTCGACTGGTGTACAGTAGTAATAGCGACTATGGTTACTATTTATTTTGTCTTTACAGTAATTCGATGCCATGCTCTTCATCCTAATTTGCGGTTTTACTTGGTATGTTATTGCATTAACGTTTAATTACATATATATTGTGAGTAACGTGTAGTGGGTGTTTTCTTGAAACGGTTGTTGATAATAATTAAGTTATTTGAACATTTAACCTCTATGATCTTGCATTAGAGAATGGGTGTATGTATATGGTTCAGTTTTGTAGTTTAACATGAAGATGTAAGGTAAAATACGTTCACCGCATTTATACAAAACAAAAAAAAATTTTAGTACTTCAGCTACTATCACAACCAATGACATACCATATGAAATTTAATATTAAGCCTAATATTCCTCTTCTAGGTCCAAATAGTGCTACCTCTAAACCTGGTAGGCGTGACAAGAATGTTAGCATCAGTAAGCGACAGTTTCAACTACTACTCTAATGACAGCGCTTACTGCGCAGTAACTAATTTCGTGAATATATTTGCGACAGGACTAAGTGATTGTACTATGTTAGCAATAGTAACAGAAAGATGTGTAGCAACATATAATCGAAGTCATTATGAACATCAAGATAACAAGATGGCTAAGATATACGGTATCTTCATGTTGTTTCATGGCATATGCTACAACTTTGTTTGTAGGTACTTAGCTGGCAAGGTTGATGGTAGGTTGTTACAGTACCGGTATTGGGAGAAAGTATAGTATGAAAATAATGTTGGCAATGCTATTAGAGCTTGCCTATCTCATTTCATGTAAAGCCTGCTATTCTAAAACAAGTCTTTAGCTTTTTAATAATATTGTGACACTAACTACCAAAATGTTCTACTACAATACATATAAACCAATCATTTTGCAGAAACCTTCCCAACCCGTTGTATCTACCTCGACAGATGGCCCTTTCTAGACTCATTTAGCTTCATAATTTGTGCCACTTTCTCTATAGGGTGCCTACCTTTGGTAGTGCTACTATACCAATACAATAAGAAGCTAAAAGACAATCGACAAGCTATGGAGTCATTAACTACTCGATTTCAAGTCAATGAAAACCTTGTGGTCTTGAGATGCTTGTTTCCTGTATTTATTGTTAGTTTTGGCATTTGTGGCACTTTTGGATTAATTTCTATGGAAATCTCTGGTTACTTATCATTGGCTGAGAGAAATGACGTTAGTAATCATACTGTTTGGGTCGACTTTTTTAGGCATGTAAGTAAAAATTTTCAAAAAAAACGAATATAGAGACCACTAACAATACAAAATTTGAAAAAAATTATTGTTCTCCCCCCCCCCCCCTTCTTTAAAAATTTTTTAAAACGTGCCGGACTAAAAATAAGCCGGGCCTAGAAGGTGACACAACCTAAACCAAGTCCTTTTTCAGATATCCCACATTTTTGTAGACTACGTGGCTTTGTCATTTGAAGTGATATTCCTTTACTATCATCCAGTGATAAGAAATCGTTTTGCCAAAGACTTGGCCATACTTATACCTCGAGTTAACCCAGAAGATACTATCAAAACACCTCAAAAGTTCATAACTGATGGAATTGGAGACGGAGATGACTACTTTAACCAGTTACAAGACACTTGGAAAATGAGAATACCTAAAAACGATGAAACTTAAATTTGATAGTAATATAAATTTAAAAAAATATCGTTTCGAATATTGAACAAATTTAGCATAAAAGTGCAAGCCTTAGGGCTCAAAATTAAAATTTTATTCAAATATATACAAACAGTCATAACCTCTTATATATTTCTTAATAAAGCCTAAATCACAGTCCAGGCACGCTGAACAACGTCTTCTTCTCCTCAGCGCTTAAGGCATTGTACTTTGGCAGCCATTGATCAAACTTGTGATGAGCTTCGGCGTCGCTCAACTTCTGAATCACATCGATCTGTTCCTGATTCAAATTAATCTCTTTCAGAATCTTGGTTTCTATAGCTACAATTTCAGACTTTTTTGTATCCAGGTATTCGATTGGATTGTCAGTTTCGGCAGCAGCTGTAGCTATTTCTTTGAACTTTGGGTCTTTGGTCAGTTTTTCTGAAATTTTTAAAATTACTAGATTGTTCAACTAATCATGTGTCCTCTCTCAAAGCACAATGTCAAAGAGGGAACACAGAATTGTGGTTACGATGAAAATTAAAATTTTAATACCTACCAACCACATTGATGACATAATTGTAGACCTTCTTAGCTTCTTTCCGGTCGTTTTGCGCCCAAACAATAACAATTAGAACTGAAGCGACAACAAGGAATTTCATGTCTGAAAAGGTAAAATTTAATTTTTGAATTATTTATTAAGCAAAACTAAAGTAACATACAAAACATTTTACTGCTTTGAGTAAAGTGCTCATGACGTATTTTACAAATTTTTAACAAGGAAATTGCCAAAAGATGTACCTAACCGAACAATATACTCATTAAGTCTGTAGTCAACCTTATTATTCGGTTGTTCAAATAATTAAGAGCCCCCTAAGAAAGCAAATCGTCATAATCAAGAGAAACTCGGAATTATCTGAACAACCTAATATAATCAAAAATTCATTTTCAGTCAGCTTTACACAATAAAATCACTATCTTACAGTAACTCCTTCCCCTTTTCACCCCAAAACAAAAAACAATATTTTCATAAACAATTACTATAACAAGATATACGTATTTCCAACAACAACAACTCCGATAAGATCGTCACAAACAACATAACCTCTACTCTTTTAAATCCTCTCACTTCTCGGGTGGAACACCTTCCTCAGCAATTAAAGCGTCAATATATCCATAATCTTCGTCGTATCTTCGCCTACGTTCCATCAAAACGTAATTGCTTTTTGTGAAGCAAAAAAGACGGAATGCAGAATAGTAAATGACATGTTATAAGACTAGAAGACTGTTCTGGAAGGATAAGATGAAGGTAGAAACGTGAGTAAAGTTGAGGTTTTGGTTTACGTTTCTTTTTTTTTTTGAGTGAATGTTTAAAATCCCTCAGTTGATCTGGTAACATTGTATGGAACAAAGTCAATTGTAAAAGATTAAAAACGCTAAAATTATACCTAAAATCACAATAAACTAGAGTTTCTATAGCAAATCAACGTAAAATAGAGCAAAACATAAAACTTTAGATAACAAAACCTATAAAACGTTCCTCTTTGGCCAATATTACCTAAAATTTAAAAAAAATGAAAAAAAAACATACATTGTAAGGTAGTTGATCAGATTTGTGAATAGTAAGTCCATCGAGCCAGCCAGCCGCTCGGTAAAGAAGTTGAAGAGTTGAGGACGAAGATCACCTGGCGTACTATTTATACCCAAAGATTGGATTTTCAGCATTAATTACTACGGAACGCTATTATGATTATTTGCTCTGAAAAGATAAAATGTTAAAATGCGGTGTAATTTACATGATTTTTATTAAAAAAAATAAATCAAACCAATAAAGCTTCATTTCTATAACATAAATAACAGAAAAACATGAAAGAATGCTACAAAATTCTAAAGCTATTGCGTTAAACATCAAAAACGACCAAAAAAGGATATTCTTATAAAAATTCCGTCATCGCATCTAGGAAACATGTCATTTTTTAGATTTTTTTGTAAATTTAGCTTTATAAACTAAAAAATATAATATAGGTAACTGCTACTTTATTTTTATTTCAGAATGAAGCTTTTTCGTTTTTTCATAATCTTATTTCTGTCTATGTTGTTTTAGATCACAAAATCTGATGCCGTGAAACAACGTTGAATTTACTGAATTCTCCTTATGCTAGAAAAGGAAAGTTCAAAAATGTGTTAGTGAATGATAAGCAAGATTACGATGAAGCATTGGAGGACTTTTTCTGGGATCGACTGGCTGATTCGGAACAGGAAAAGGATAACATGATGTTGGTCGGTAAGATTTTACTGTTTTTGTTGCAGTTTTGGCTTTAGAAGCGAGCTAATGATATGAAACAGTGGCACAGGTTTAGATTAACGTTTTACAAGATTGCGAAGCTTTTGAACTTCTTTAATTTTTTTAATTACAGCGTTTTCTATATTTTTAGGTAACAAACTATGAAAAATTCAAAGAAATTTGAAGAAAAGTGGGTCACACCATGGCCCGGCGCGTTATTATAAGCCTTTACTTCAACTTCTAAATCAGTTGATCATAAACCGTTGGACGAATTAGCTCCATTTCCGGAACGGTCATACCTTCGTTATAGTAACAATGAGCAAATTATTTCGTTTTTTTTTGTAAAATTAGGGAAGAAAACGGTGAACAATGTATAAGCTGAGGTAATCAAGCTGTAATCGCTAGAAAATATGCGTCAAGCGGAGAGGAAGTTGCGTTAGTGAACTTACCGGTGACATTGTTCTTGAATTTGGCTTAACAAGCTACTACTTAACCTACATTTAGTTGGTCTACATTTTGTATTATTATTGTTTTGGGAAGATTCACTGTATTATAGTAGGTACTATACGACATTATAGTGCATATGAGCTTTGTTGTTGTATTCTGAAAGTAGTGGCTGCTATTTTATAGTATACTTTACATTTTATTGGACTGTAAAAGCTCTGCAGAAGTTGGTATACTCTAAAGATCATATTGTAAAATAATTAAAGAAGCCTGTCATACTGTAAAGCAGTCTATACAGTATGACATACGATGACACGTCACTGTCAGAGCGTGAAATGACACAAATGAGGAGGCTAGCGATCACCGGTGTAACTTTATCTACAGTATCTACTATTCTAATATTATTTTCATTGCCACTTATGTATGAAGTTGTTACTGAGCAACATACCAACATGTTAGACAACTTAAACTTTTGTCGTTCCAAGCGTGAATTACTTCGCAGTGAAATCGTCAGGACTAAGGTGAGTAATGTAAAATACGGTGGTTGTTGCCTAGTTTTGTACAACAACTAAAGTAAGATAGAAATAGCAAAAAGTACCACATTGTACTTGTAAAAGATGGTACAACGTACGAACTTAAACGCAGAAAATCTCAACTTTACTTTAGTATATGCTACAACTCAATCCTCGACAAAAACGAGCCATACGAAAGTCAGGAACATCAAAGGAACCACCTTCTTACCCTATCATAACATACGCTGATGACCCATTTCCGGACTCATATATACCGTATCAAGCCCCAAGATACGGAGGCTACACACCAACAACTACAGGATGTTGTGGATGTGGCTACTCGCCATCCGGTCCACCTGGACCTCCTGGCTATCCAGGTCGAGACGGAAGTGATGGTCAACCTGGCCTTCCTGGTACACCTGGAATGGATGGTCCACCCCCATTACCTGCACCACCTCCAAACTGGTGTTTTGCTTGCGAAACAGCCTTCCCCGGCTATCCTGGAAAACCGGGTGCGCCTGGTCTACCTGGAAAGCCAGGCTATCCTGGAGAATCTGTTTATATGACTCCAGGACTACCTGGTCTACAAGGACCAATGGGGCCACCTGGACCAGAAGGGGAGCCGGGTTATCCGGGAGAACCTGGTGTGTCTGGTAATATCTTTGATCTACCAGTTCAAGTTGGTCCACCTGGCCCGCCAGGACCTCCGGGCTACCCAGGTTATCCTGGAATGGCTGGAGTTGATGGTGAGCCGGGCTACATGGGAGAGACTGGCGATATGGGCGACTCTGGATACCCAGGAAGGCCAGGAAATAGAGGTGAAAGTGGTCGGTCTGGCAGACCGGGCTATCCTGGACCGCCTGGAGAATGCTCACATTGCCCTTATCCTAGAACTGCACCTGGATATTAAGTTTTTAATTATAATATATACTGCAACATGCTATAATTATATGAAATATTATTTTAGAGTAATGCCTATGTATATGTTTTGTTGTTTTATGGTAAAAAACGTTCAATAAAGCAAAGTTTTGCTGTAAAGTTAAGCTTTATTACTATTTTTGTCATTTCTAAACTACGGTCAACAAGCTTTTTTTTTTGAGTTTTCCTCCCTCTCTCTTGCTCTATAAAACCTTTAACCATGTCCCCCACTTTGACCCCTTGTAAATTTTTTTTAAATTTCTTAAAACACAAAAAAATGATGTCAGTATAGTCCCGACACAGTTTTCATAACAGGATTTTGCCGATTTAAATATTTTAAACTCTACACATTCAGCACAACTCCCCCACTTCCATGGCGAGAAAGTTGGTTGTGACGTCAAACTTTTAAACTCACTTCAGTACGTCTGCTTTTATTCGCTTTTGCAGAAACGTTTTTATATTCTTCTGCAATAGATGTGTGTTTTTACTATTTTGAAGGACTTTGAAATTTTATGAATTAAGCGTTTTAAAATTTAAAGCTTTGAAACTTGCGTAACCTTAAGCGTATTTTACAAAAAAAACGAAAATAAATCTTATATTTTTTTTTTGCAAATTCATTTTCACTTTCGCCATAGATATTTACTCATCTTTCTTATAATAGCATTCTACTGTACGTTATCAACATTTTACTTCCAATATTGTTCTTTGTTATACGATTGAACAAATAAAAAAGAAGATTCTTATTCAAAAGATACTTTTTCTTTAACTTTTGTCAGTATCGAATTTCGTTTTTCAAATAAATATTTCCAGTCTATTGAATAGAGAACATTACCAAGACAATAGATTGCATTTTCTAAAAGTTCAAGTGTTTTTAAAGTTTCCAAAAAAAACTTTTCTCGCTTTTTTATTGGAATTTTGGTGGGTATTTTTTACAGTTTGTTTTGAGGATTTTTAAGCCAGTCAGCTCTAGTGCCGCGCTCTAATTCAAAGCCTTTGCACGGAGACCTAGTTCAGAGTCATAGCCCGGAGCCCTAGTTCAGAGCTCTAGGGTTAGCCTGAGCGCTAGCACTAAGCCCTGTCAGTCCTAGAATTAGCCTAGTATTAGTCTTAGTTCTTAGCCCAAAGTCCAAGTCACAGCTCAAATTCTGTTTTAGCCTTAGCACTAGCTTTAGCGCCCTAGACCCGGGTTTTAGCCCAGGCCTTCTACTCTTTTTAACTTGTTTAGTCTTACTAGTTAGCTACTCCTTTTTCTAGCTTGTCTACTTTTATTCTTTTTTTGAATAGCTTTGATTACAACACCTCTTCAGCTGAACTAATAAGTATACTATTTTGTTTGCACATTTCCAATTCAATCTGCAGAACGCTTTCCAAAAGCTCATTGATCTATCGATCTGACTTATGACTCATTTGATCGCTCAAAGTCTTTTCTTCTCTTCTCTCTCTTATAAAGTCATAAAAACGACATCTAATCGTTAATTTTAATACCACACTTTTAAACTGTAAAATCAAAAACTTAAAACAAAAATTAAAAAAATGTTGTTGATGCCACATGTCTTGCCACTATATTGTTTACCCTCTCGGTAAACCCCAAAAGATCAAACGTAGAATTTGAGCAGTTTACACAATAAATCAAAAGAAATACTTTACTTTAAAATTGATTTGGCTGGGCAATTTTTTGTTGATAGAGAACTTCCGCCGCATACCATGACAAGATTGTCAAATTCGATTCGACTGTTTTTGTGGCGTTTTACTGTTTTTAAAAAGGAAGAAATATTTTTAGATTTGTGAGTTTGGAGGGGTGTTTTTGGAGGTTTAAAAAACCTTTTGGCTAGATGTTTTGATTTTACGACTTCTTGGCTATTATATTTACAGGGGAGGTGCTCCTGACTGGGCCTGATTGACTTCAAACGTTTTATATAGAAATATCATATAATAATAAGATTTCCAGCAATGTACTAACAAGGAAAGTACCCTACCTGTCCCGCTCAGAATCAGCCCAAATTGTTTATATAAATTTTTCGTACCATCAATAGTACCCAAAAAAATTTTAAATTGCGCTTTTAAGTTTTAAATTTAAATTATTATTATATTTTGGCTTCCCTTTTTTTCAAATCTCGATTAACTACGCTTACAAATTAAAAAATGTGGGTTCATTTAAAAATATTCTACAAGTACAATTCCTAAAAGTCAAAAAATGACAAATTTATAAGCTTGAAACACACTGCCAATTTTGCCAATTTGGCGGGAAAACTTAAAACTCAAAATCGCGAACTAAAACTTTTTATGGGTACTATTAGTGATATTATACAACTAATTAATATAAAAATTTACAGTTAATTCAGAGCAGGGCAGTTAGAGTATTCTATGATTAGCTGAGGATTGACGGACAATTTTAATGATTTTTATAAATAATTAATGGTCGCTTTAAAAATACGTTTCTCAAGTTTTTTAGCAACTTATGGATGTTCCATGGGCCTATAAACTTGAAAAATCTTCATTTTAGCACCATCTTTTGCACCTCATAATCATAAGTCAAACCTAATGTAAACCATTTGCAAAACGAACATCTTCAACGTTTGCTTTTTGGATATTAAAAATAGTTTAAACGGATGACGCACTTTTGAATGTCTGTCTCTAAATTATTTTTCATAAATCCATCTTTTCTTTGGCCAACTTTTGGGGCCAAACCTGTCGCATTTTATTTTTTTTTAATAGTTCAGGGAATAAAAATGAATTTTTTAACTTTTGATAGTGATAAAAACAGGTTTTCTTGACGTATTTTAAATTTTTTTTTTATTTTTTCCATGTTTAAAAATACATATTTCGGACTTGTGAACTTGTTTTGTAGACTGAATGATTTGATCTGACAGAGTTCCCACCTCTTGAGAGCTCGCTTAAGGCTCAGACCGATGCCATCATTCAACTTATACGACGTCACAGCCGTCTTTCCAGCTCGATCTTACTTTTAGGCCAAAACGAAGTGGCTTTATAATACTCAAGTTAACTGTAGGTGATCTCGTTACTTGTGAATAATTCTATAGAGAACTGTGATCTCGTTGTGCCCTGGGCGGGTGAAAAGAGAGGATGAGGGGGGGGGTAAGATTAAGTAAATTTTTTAAATTATACGCGAGTTCTGCTGTATTAGCCTTATAACACTTAGCTAAAATATAGTCTAAAACAAGTTGTTTACCTTGTATTGACTACTACATTGACAACGGCAATCATATATTCATTCAACCATAAACTGACAGCATTCAAATGCCTTTTCCGAAGAGATAACCCAATAAAAACCTCATAAACGATGTAATAGCGTGCACAACACTGAAGGTGACAATACGTTTTAAAGGCCTCAAATTTGGGTAAAATTTTATTTTTCTGACTTTTTATGCAAATTTTTATTTTTCATATATTTTTGCAAAAAATTTTTGATTCAAAGGCTCGGGAATTTTGCAAAAAAATGAAATTTAGCTTCATTTTCAATCAAAAAATTGGCTTATTTGAAACTTTAAACATAGCAGCTTTCAAATGAAAAAAGTTGTATAAGTAAAATAGCTTTCATGTTAAACTACGTTGACTTTCATGCCATTACATAGCATTTTTTCGAAATTTTAAAGCTATGATTTTTACGCAAACTCTAAAATCAATATTTGCGTACTCTTAAGTCATGTATAATATGTTTATTCGATGGCCGCTCTTATCAACTTGTTTTTCCGAAATGAGCGAGTTAATAACCCTCCGTCTGCATAAGACAAACTTGGTCGATCTTTTCATTGAACTGACATTAGAATCAGCTTTTGGTTTGCTAGTGAAGTTGTTTTAAGTAAAGAGTTGTCCTGGACCCGTTTTATATAATATCCAAAAATATGAAATTTTGACCTAAACGGCTTTTTTTGACATTATTAAGGAAAGTTTTTCTCTTCATTTACTTTCTATAATTTATACAATACACTTTGTTTATCATAACCAAACTTCTGCAAAACTTTTTTTTATCAAATTCTTGAAAGCTGCTTATAATTCCTGAACTTTGGCTAAACTCAATTCAGTCCAGCCTTCCCGATTGTTTGTTTGATCAAAAAGTTGCGCACTGATTAAGTTTTAAAAAAGACTGTCCAAACTGTATAAACCACATTTTTCGAATGTCAAAAAGAGTGTGTGGAGTGAGGAGACGATAGAAATCGGTAGGTCTTGAATTAGGGCCAAAAGTTCACGTCCCGCCATTGTTCCCTCAAAGGTTTGTCGCAAGTCTTTAATGCCCTTTATAAACAATGCACCTTTAAAGCTGTTGGTGGGCTTTAAAGAATTTTTTTTGGCTTAAAGTTTCGTCGTAAAAACAGTCAAAATTGGCGGGGGAAGGACTTGTTTTAGGTGTAGTAAGTGCAGTGAAACTCTTGTGTCAGGAATCGCTCTTGAATTTAAAAATTTTTTGTTATAACGGGGTTTTGGTATAGAGGGGTTTGTTATATAACAGTTACACCGTAGTAAGAGTGTTGAGAGTGTAAAATAAGCTAAGTGTTACAGAAAGAAAGTAAGAAGTTAAAAAGTTATGTTACAGTACTTTATTTTTTGTTACAGTAGTCTACATGTTCTTGGTGCAGTAGGCAATATATATATATATTTATGCTTACAAAAAATGGTTAAGGACAGTAAAATAGTAACTACACTAAACCTCTTGTATTAAAAACTTCTTTAAACCGCAACTTCTTCATATTAAAATAAATTTTAAATTCCTGAGCGATTAGTTATACAGAAGCTTTTCTGTATTAGAATATCTGAAAACATTTGAGTTTCTTTTCGCCCATAAATAGCGTTTTGTTTTCCAAAAACGCCATATTTTTATGCCGTGTATAAATAAATGAAAAAATCGATGACCATTTGAAGAAGACATCAAAACAAATGTCAATCTTTTTTGTCCTAAAAAACTTTGGCAGTAGATTTTAAACAAACTCTGTTTGCTTGTTGTGGACATAAGACTTTAATATAATTTTATTACTT